ATAATATGTAGCTCGGATACATTAAATAATGGCTCGGATACATTAATATGCAGCTCAAATACATTAAAAACTAGCTCGGATATATAATATGTAGCTCGGATACATTAAATACTGGTTCGAATACATTAATATGCAGCTCGAATACATTAAAGAAATAAGGGATTTTGGAGATTTTTAAAAGTAATAGAGGATAATGGAAATAAGTGAAATAAAAGGTGTGTATTTCTGTAATTTGTCCTTTTTTAAATATATTTTTGGTAAAAAATTAATGGGGTTAAGTGCAAACACACACTATATAATTTTCTTATAAATAGAGACTCCAAATATGTGAAAAATACACAAAGAGCTTTCTAGTTTGAGAAAATGGCCAACTCTTCTTTTCAATCCCCAATAGCCAAAAAGTTATTTTCTTTTCTTTTATTTTCCTTATTCATATTATTGTTCTTGATAATAGTACTAATTTATAATTGAACTTATTTTTGCAGGCTAGAAGGCAAGGTAGCAATTATAACTGGTGGAGCTAGTGGCATAGGAGCAGCCACAGCTAGACTTTTTGTTCAACATGGTGCAAAAGTGATAATTGCAGATATTCAAAATGATCTCGGAAATTCATTAGTAAAACAAATTGGTACAGAGCAAACAATTATCTATGTCCATTGTAATGTCTCGATTGAATCTGACGTTAAAAATGTTGTTGATGCAACAATTGCTAAATTTGGTAAGCTCGACATAATGTTTTGTAACGCTGGTGTATTAGGCAAGCCAATTTCAAGCATTCTAGATGTAGATTACGATATAATTAAGAACGTGTTTGATGTAAACGTTGTTGGCGCATTCTTTTGCGCGAAACACGCTGCTAGAGTGATGATTCCAAATAAGAAAGGTGTCATTCTTTTCACGACAAGTGTAACAACCGTGGTCGCTAGTAGCAGTACCCCGCACACCTGTACGTCATCAAAGAGTGCAGTTTTGGGACTTTCAAAGAATGTTGGAGTCGAATTAGGGAAATACGGAATAAGAGTTAATTGTGTTTCTCCTTATGCAATTAGCACACCATTTATATATGGTAAATGGATTTGGAATAGACAAACAAAAGGCAGACAAATGGTTTATGGAAGCAGGAAATTTGAAAGGAGCTTTATTAGATGAACAAGATGTAGCAAATGGAGTGTTGTATTTGGCAAGTGATGATTCCAAATATGTGAGTGGTTTGAATCTAATTATTGATGGTGGTTATAGCACTACAAATGTTGCTTTAACTGAGGCTTACAACAAATTATTTTTATCAACTACCAACAAATGATTGATCAATTGATTGAAAGCTATCCAATATGCATATTATGAATCTATTATCAATAAAAATAAGGAATAAAAAGTTTTACATTCATGATATCTTTGAAAAATGGAAGTGTCTCAGATCAGTAGTCAATGAGATGAGTGATTTTTTTTATAAAGTTTGGATAATTCTCCTTCCTTTAAGTTAGTTTTTAGGGTGTGAATTAGTCTTGAGACCTAATTTTACGTGCTATAAAGTTATAAGACACTAATTTATGTTAAAGACAACATAGTGACTAACAAGCTTGTTAGACTAATTGCACATACACCAAATGAATATGATCTATAATGCCTTCCTACAATGATGAGATTTACATGAAACTTTCACAAGGCTTAACTTCTTATATATGAAGACAATGGATGCCAAGCTAACTGATTTGCCCACGGTTGGTAGTGATAAGAGGTTATTAAACCATTACCCAATCGCTAAATCAATAACTCATTATCCATAAACCAATTCGATTTTGGACAACACTATCATATATGCTCAATACTAATAAGTCTAATTTTCAAAGGTTTAATAGTTAGTACCCTACGCCACTATCCATTATAGTATGAACTCTACACAACATGGGTGATGACATAATGGCCTCGATCCTTGTAATTGCAGAAAGTTAAACATTCTAATTAATTAGCAAATTATTAGGTGAATTGAGGTTGTTAATTATTATAATCTGTCTTAAAGCTAATTAGATTTAAAAGTCAAAATAGAAAATTTAACATGTCCAAACCGATTAATCCAGTTGAACTTAAAAAAATCCAACTCAATCCAAGTTTATTTTTTATTGGATTGTAATTTTTCTAATTAGAAAATCAAAAAATTCAAATTGAAATTTTCACATTCAATCTGAATGACCCAAACACTGAGCCCTAATCATGTATTAGTATATAGAACCACTCTCCGACACTTTAAATAAATTGAAAGTGATCGAAATTTGTGTAACGACATATTACTGTCGTTATAGACATATTACTGTCGTTATAGAAAAGACAATGGAGAAAGAATTGAGGCTAGAAAACTTTTGAGTAGTAACTTTAGATTTCCTAGCCTAGTCCAGATTTGGACGAAATCAGAGACAGTTAGGTCTAGAAAAATCTGGTAATAGATGAGAGATCTAATTATGATTTTGATCACATGACTGGATAACTAAGATGTTAAGGAACTCGTACGACTTTACGGAATTGAATTCAGGTGAGTAGAACTTCTGAAACTGATCTTAGCGTGAAAGGGTGTTTTCTGAGTGTCATGGAATGAAGGCGTGTTGTGAAATGGGGGTTTGAAATTCTTAATTTTGCTCACTAGTTCCGTACAAGCCGTTGTGGCGGGACAGTCGCGACTTAAGTAGGAAATAAACCCCAAAAACGTTTTATTCTGCTATTTTCGACTTTGAGAGCTAGGAACGACCCCATGAGTTTTCTTGACAGTTTTCCACTATTCTTGAGGCTAAAGATAAGGTTTTCACTCCCCGAATCCATTTTTCGATCCATAGAATGTAAATTCGTGGGTAATTATTATTGGGGGAGGGTTTTGATCTGAAACTAATAGTGGAAAAAGCCCTAAATTGGGTATTAGGATCTTGGGTTAGTCTAGGGTTATTTGGTTTGTTATAATTCGTATAATTAGACCTTTAATTGTTGATCCTTACGTTAATTGTATATTTTTAAACCACGAACAAGCTGGAAGAATCCGGAAAGGAAGATTCAAGTGTCTTAGGGGATTCAAGCTTGGATTCGAGATAAGTGATGGTTGTGATTTTATGTTTGTGTGATATATGTTTGTAATTGCTCATTATAATGCATGTATGTATGCGAATGTTGCATTATTGATCACCCTAATCATAAATGAGGATAATTGAATAATTGTATGCCATGAATCACCTCTTGTTGTATGATTATGAGAATATACATTGTGATTGTGATTTGTTGATTGGATTGGTTGCCACGTTCCAGCATAAACATTGGATCAGTTGCCACATTCCGACATAAACATGGGATCGGTTGCCTCGTTTCGGCATAAATATGGGATCGATTGCCACGTTCTGGCATAAACATTGAATCGGGTACCACGTTTCGATATGCTAACAGTTTGGGTGTGGGTTCCATGAGAGGACCATTGAATTCGGTTCCGTGAGAGGACCATTGAATTGTGTTGTGTATCTACTTGATGATTACGTTCATATCTAATGATGATTGATATTATTAGACTATATGTTGCTCTAAATAGATATCTAATGTGTATTATTGAGAATGTGGGATGCTACATTGATCCTAAAAAGATGACTAATATTGTATATGTTCGGTATATGCCAGTTTTATAATGTTGTGGTTACTTGCATGTGTTTCACTTATTGGGATAGCCGTGTGATCCTACAAGTACACTGTGGTTGTGTACTGATACTGCACTTGCTCTTTCTTTGTTGAGTACATGGCATCTTGAGGTGGCTATTGATAGACCTCAGCTAGGTGACTATTGAGCGTGACCAGATTCAAGGGTGAACCAGTTCTTTCAGGCTACCAATGGATTCTTTCTTGTTTAAGTCCACTCTTTTCGGACTCCGACATTTGTTTAAAGTATTATTTAGTTTCGAGGTTTTACCCCTTGTTCTTAGACTTGTCGTTAGTAGAGTTTTGTTACAATGACTTTCAGGTTCTATGGGTTGTTCTTCCGCATTAGTTTGGTTAGTTGTTTGTTAAAACCTTGGAGTTTATGGGGACTCCATTTTTATAGTCATTTAAACCTGCTTCTGTATCTTTAAATGCCTTAGTTTTCATAAAATTTGTTTGTTTGGGTTGTAGTAATGGTTCTCCCACCGGAGGATTTGTGTGGGTGCCAATCACAATGGTCTGGGTCGTGACAAAGTTGGTATCAGAGCCCTAGGTTCGTTGATCTCATTGTACCAAAACGAGTCTAGTAGAGTCTTGCGAAACGGCATGATGACATCCGTTCTTTTCTTCGATAGGCTATAGGACTTTAGAAAAACCTCACTTCTTTCTACAACTTCGTGCTATGACTTGAATCCAATTATAAATTCATTTTTTGCTCTCAGGCTAGCAAGAAAATTACAAACGCTAAATTTGCTAAAGGTTTTCAAGCTGTATTGAAGAAGCTTCAAAAAGCTCAGAGGCTTGCAGCTAGAGTTGTCAAAATGGGCCGGCCTAACCCAACCCAACCCAACCCTAACAGACTAGAGAGTTAAATGGATTAGGACGAGCTGACCCTTTTAATTAATGGGCCTATAAAATAGCAGTCCAACCCAGCCCTAAGCGGGCCATGGATTGGGACGGGTCGGCCCTTCACCCAAAAAATGAACAACATTGATTTTTTGAAAGAGTATCTAAGAATATCGAATGTTAATGTCTGATGAACACGACATCAATACATATTCAATCTGAACAACCAGAACATCTTTTCCTAATTCATATATTATTATATAGAAAATGCTCTCCTACACTTTAAATAAATTGAAAGTGATTAAAATTTGACCCCTATAAAATAAAGTATTCTTTTTTTCTTTTACAAAACACTATTTTTTTCTTCTTAAAAGTGGACTCAAACCCCTCAATTCTCTAAAATAAATATTTGAAAAGAAACACATTTAATTCATTAGATAGCTTTTGATGTATAAAAACCTATTTTATTCTAAAATACAGCATAGGAAACCCTTTTCTCCCGTTAATCATATACGGATATAAATAGAGATTTTACTCATCACGTATTAATGCTATAAATATAATTTTTTAATTCATTTTTTATTAAATCAACTCACCGAAAAAAATAAATGATGAAAATATCTTACTGAAATATTAAGAAGAGTCCTAAATTTTTTTTGTGTTTAAATGGTACAATCTTTTGTTTCACACAGATTCTAATATTAAATTTGTGAAGTTATCAACAAAAATCATTTCTATGCAAATTGTCAACCTTGCGTCTGTAGGCTATAGCTATATGCCCTTCTAAATATTTAGCCACCACTTTCACGTGGCTTTTTAATTCCCAAGTTTATGACATTTAAGTAGTCACAATTTTAAAACCCTAAACCTAATGTTTATAAATATGACAATAATATACTTAAAGATCATAACATTTTAAAAATATTTTTAGTATATTATATATATTTTTATTTGGTACAAAATTATAAGATTTAAAAATCTTTTATATACTTTTAAATTCTATGTCAAATTAAATTAAGATATATAAAATGAGACAAAGGGAGAAAATATTATTTTCACACAAATATTAGTCGTAATTTTTAGTAATATAAAGTAAAATTTCTCTAATTAGTCGAGTTGGACGAAGTTAAACCTAACCAGAGCTACTAGGAACTAGCTAGGTTTCCCCCCTTCCCTTTAATGTAATTAGCCATGCGTAAAAAATATTCAAATCATAAATACATTATATATTGTACGTTAAGCAAAATGTACTGGTTAATTAAAAAAATTAAATAAAATGATCGAGTAAATTCTAAATATTAATGAATGATAATCTTATTTAGTAAGCTCAATTTAAAAAAAAAGGGAATTATGCTCCATACAGATCTTAATATTTAATTGTAATTTCGATGTATAGATTATGTAAAAAGAATTGAGGAAAAAAAAGGGAAGAAAAATAGAATATAATTATACTTTGTTGCTAATGGTGCATTAATTGTATTTTAAGGAAATTAATAATCATTGTGCCCCCTCTCTATTGCATAGCTACATGAAAGAACATATAAAATAATTATTGCATATATTTTTTGCAAATACACAACATAATTTAACCTAGAAGATAAATTATTAGTTATACAAATTAAATTCAAGTTTGTTAAATTCATGATGGATAATAAAAAGTAACAAATCGAAATAAGGCTAAAAAATCATGAAATTCAATGAATTTTGAAAGATAAGAATTGATTATATATGTATCATATTCTTTAGGACATTTTCTTTTTCTTTATTTGATTTCACTAGATCTCATATCGTTTGTCATTTTTTATATTATTTAGCTTGATTTTCCAATAAAACTCTTGTTTTAAAAAAGGCATAATAATGATTAAAATAATCTCATTAAAATAATCCATGTGTAAAAACAGAAAAAGGTGATAGAATTTGGCCTATGTTATTTTGTTATAATTTATAGGCATACACGGATACACCGATGCAGATAAGGGTAGATGTTCGGGTCAATCAAATTGAACATAAAAATTTTGATTTGAATTTTCGGTTTTCAAATCAAAGAAATTAATATTAAATAAGTTTGGTCCCTCGGTTAAAAAGAAATGTCTTGAGCAATCAGGGATTCATTTTAATAAATAGATTCGATCTTAACCGATTCAATTAAGATATTAGTGTTTATTCTATTATACAATTAAAATCGCATTTTTTGCACTTCGTATATTTTGAATTTTGACTTTAACTTTGACTTTTAAGCCTTTAACACAGACTTCTTAGGAAGGATATTAATTGCGAACCTCCATTTTATCACCAATCACAAACCATCAAATGTTTTCATACTCATTGTCTATCTCTAGGAGAAACAAAACTAATGGAATTAAATGTATTGCAATTAGGGTACTATTAAACCTTTAGACTTATTAGTATTAAGCATATATACGAGTAAGGGTTACTTAATATAAGGTATAAGAATTCATTTTTTCTAATATTTGAAAAGTTGAAGTACCAAATCTGATATCCAATTCAAAACATTTGTTATAGTGAAGTAATTCAGATCTTGTCGATCTCGTAGGTGTTATCTGTTGGGTTATGAAGGTGAATTGGGGCGTCATGTGAAAGCTTATAATTTGCAAATCATATGATAATAAATTAGATGACAAAACTTATACTAAAAACTAATATTATTATATGAAAACTAATATAAAGAAAAAAATATTAAAACTGTTGAGGGATTAAATCTCCCCATAAACAAAACTCTCTAAATGTCTACATTGTTGATACTATTGTGTTATGCTATGAGAATAGGGATCTTCAATTTATAGATCTCCAAACATTTCCTCTAAGGAAAGAATAAACCAAATATGGAAGAAAATTATATTTTCCTTTTAGAAAAAGTTCAAGCATTTATGGTAATATTTTGACTTTTCTTTAAGGAAAAAAAATAAACTTCAAATAAGGAAAGAAAATCAGGGTAAAACCCTAACATTATCTTCGATTTGAAGGGTTTTTCCACGATAAACTTGGTGCTCTTTATTTTTAAGTTTTCGTTTTCATCTTTTCATGATAAAAAAATATTAGGCCCGACCCTACTAATTAATTCAAGGGTAGGGTTGGGCTGGACGACTTAACGGGCCATGCCCATTTTGACAGCTCTACTTGCAGCTGAGGGGGATACATCACATTCTCCTTTCGTTCCCCAAGTAGTTCTCCTTTCTAGGTAAGTGATGGCCATGTGTTATGCTTCACTGGAATTTACGTTATGGATAGGGATGGCAATGGGACGGGGCGGACTTAGGCCTATGCGGGGCGGGGACATGATTGCAGGTGCGGGGCGGATATGGGGGGTTGAAATATATTTTTTCCAATTCTTAGCGGGGCAGGGCAGGTGCAGATTTACAGTGTAAGTGTTGATGTTCTAGCCTAACCGCTCTAGCCTCTACTTTACTGTGTAACTGTTGATTTTTTTATTTTTTATTTTTTATTTTTTATCTTTTATCTTTTTGTTAAATTGCAGCTTATGTTAAATTTTTAATTGTGTTTCATAATTAGAATTTATAAATTGAATATTCAAAAAAAATTATAGTCGAATGTTAAAGCTAAATAACAAAGTGAAAAAATAATAATAAGAAAACTTATGCAGGGCGGATTGAAAAGGTAAATTAGTCTATGTACGTGGGGCGGATTAAAGTCTCCGCGAATTTATGCGGGTTTGCCCTCACAACCACCCTGCCCCGCTCCATTGTCATCCCTAGTTATGGACAAGCTATTTAGAAGTAAAATTAATCTAAATTCATTTTTCCTCTTCTTCTGCAGGTACATTTTTCCAGGCGCTAACACTGGAGAGCAACCAAAATGTAGCAGTACATAAATAGTATAGGATGTAAACATCCAATGTAAATAATGTAGCCACACATATATAATACCTATGTGTGTGTACATATATATTAAGTTTGTGTGTGCATTTAGCCAACAAAAGTCTTTCATATATGTTTGTGCCCAAACACATTTATCCCATAGATACGTGTGCACGCAATTTAACTCGCAAAGGTCCTTGTTGGGCCCGTGCTCACACGGACCATCACTGCCTAGTCTCTAGGAGAAACAAAAATTAATGGAGTTGATGTATAACAATTAGGGTACTATTAGACCTTTAGACTTATTAGTATTATTAAGCATATATACGAGTAAGGGTTAATATAAGGTATAAGAATTCAAATTTTCTAATATTTGAAAAGCTTAAGTACCAAATCTGATATCCAATTCAAGCAATTCGGATCTCGTCGATTTCGTGGGTGTTACTTTGGTTTGAAGGATTTTTTCACTATAAACTTGGTATTCTTTATTTTTAAGTTTTTGTTTTCATCCTTTCATCATAAAAAATATTTATAATAACTTCGATATATAGATTGTGTAAAAAGAATTCATGAGAAAAAAAAGGGGAACAAAAATAGAATCATACTCCTTCCGTCCATTTTTACTTGTCTACTATACTAAAAATAGATGTCCAACAATATTTGTCCAGTTTAGAAAATTAATAGATAATTTACCATTTTGTGTTTATTTTACCCTTGCTATTAAATATTAGTATTCAATAGTATCTAATATATTTCCCAAAGCGCTAATTTTAATAAGGAAAAGGGTCAAAAATACCCTTAAACTATCCGAAATAGCTCATATTTACCCTTAAACTATATTTCGGCTCAAAACTACCCTTTCCGTCAAACTATTGGGTCAAAAGTGCCCTTCTTATTAACGGAAGTTGTTAAATGTCATGTGGATGCCACATTGCACACCAATAGGTTCCACTGCCACATAGACTAAACTCCTAAATCTTAATTACTCTTTTTTCCCCCTCATTTCATTATTTTCCAGAAACGATTTCACCCTTTTTCCCTCATTTTTCGGCTAGGGTTTCACAGTTTTCTTCGTTGCTGGGTTTCAAAGTGGATATTTGTGGTTGTAGGTTAGTAAATCTTTTTTCTTATTTTATGATGTTTACAACCACGAATATCCACTTAGAAACCCTGCCCCGAAGAAAGCTATGGAACCCTAGCCGCGAAATGAGGGGAAAGTTGTGAAATCCTAACTATCATGCTTTGAAATCGTAAACATAATAAAATAATGAAAAAGATTTACTAACCTACAACCACGAATATCCACTTTGAAACCCAGCCCGGAAGAAAGCTATGAAACCCTAGCCGCGAAACGAGGGGAGAGTTGTGAAATCCTAACTATCATGCTTTGAAATCGTAAACATAATAAAATAAGAAAAAAAATTTACTAACCTACAACCACAAATATCCACTTTGAAACCCAATCATGAAGAAAACTATGAAACCCTAGTTGCGAAATGAGGGAGAAGGGGTGAAATCGTTTTTGGAAAATACTGAAATGAGGGGGGGGGGTGAGTAATTAGGATTTAGGGATTTAGTCTATGTGGTAGTGGAACCCTATTGGCATGCAATGTGGCATCCACATGGCATTTAACAATTTTCGTTAATAAGAAGGGCACTTTTGACCCAATAGTTTGTCGGGAAGGGTTAGTTTTGAGCCGAAATATAGTTTAAGGGTAAATATGAGCTATTTCGGATAGTTTAAGGGTATTTTTGACTCTTTTCCAATTTTAATATACTATAAGCATACACCGATGCAGATAGGGGTAGTTGTTCCGGTCAATCAAATTAAATATAAAAATTTTAATTTGAATTTTCAGTTTTCAAATTGAAGAAATTAAAATTCAAATAAGTTTGGTTTGTATATTTTGAATTGTGACTTTGACTTTTAAGCCTTTAGCACAGGCTTGTTAGGAAGGATACTAATTGTAGCAAATTATCAACCACAAATTATCAAATGTTTTCATACTCAATTATCTATCTCTAGAAGAAACAAAATTAATAGGGTTTTTTAAATATATTTTTGGTAAAAAATTAATGGGGTTAAGTGCAAACACACACTATATAATTTTCTTATAAATAGAGACTCTAAATATGTGAAAAATATACAAAAAACTTTCTAGTTTGAGAAAATGGCCAACTCTTCTTTTCAATCCCCAATAGCCAAAAAGTTATTTTCTTTTCTTTTATTTTCCCTATTCATATTATTGTTCTTGATAATAGTACTAATTTATATATTTGAACTTATTTTTGCAGGCTAGAAGGTAAGGTAGCAATTATAACTGGTGGAGCTAGTGGCATAGGAGCAGCCACAGCTAGACTTTTTGTTCAACATGGTGCAAAAGTGGTAATTGCAGATATTCAAAATGATCTCGGAAATTCATTAGTAAAACAAATTGGCACAGAGCAAACAATTATCTATGTCCATTGTAATGTCTCGATTGAATCTGACGTTAAAAATGTTGTTGATGCAACAATTGCTAAATTTGGTAAGCTTGACATAATGTGCAGTAACGCTGGTGTATTAGGTAAGCCAATTTCAAGCATTCTAGATGTAGATCACGATATAATTAAGGACGTGTTTGATGTAAACGTTGTTGGTGCATTCTTTTGCGCGAAACACGCTGCTAGAGTGATGATTCCAAATAAGAAAGGTGTCATTCTTTTCACGGCAAGTGCTTCTACCGTGGTCTTTGGTGCCGGTGTCCCTCACACGTATGCATCCTCGAAAACTGCGGTTTTAGGGCTCTCAACGAACGTTGGGGTGGAATTAGGAAAATATGGAATAAGAGTTAATTGCGTTTCACCTTATTACATTAGCACACCATTAGTAGTAAATGGATTTGGAGTAGAGGAACAAAAGGCAGACAAATGGTTTGAAGAAGGAGGAAATTTGAAAGGAGCTTTATTGGATGAACAAGATGTAGCAAATGCAATGTTGTACTTGACAAGTGATGATTCTAAATATGTGAGTGGACATAATCTCATACTTGATGGTGGATTTAGTACTACAAATGTGGCTATAACAGAGGCCTATAAGAAGTTATTTCCATCAAATGATTGATCACATCATTTTAGTATCCAATATCAAGGTCGATCGGGTCGATTATAAGATAACTAAAGCAATAGCTTGGGTCATATTATGAATCTATATAGATAAAAATAAGGAATAAAGAGCTAGTCCCCCTTTGATCAATTGGATTATGTAAGTTTCATGATAGATTCATGTTTCTTCTTATGTAAGTTTATCTAATGTTGTACCTTATACTTAATATGCTTGTTGTGTTTTATATTTGATGATATGTAATTAATTAATTCAACACAAATTTTGAGTTATCAAAATAGATTGAATTAATAAATAAATATGTTATTGTGGTGATTTATTGTTTGCCATTAGTGGTGCCACCCAATTCTCCATTTTTTTTAGTTATGTGGCTCAAAAAGAGATCTTGCTCAATCAAAGAAAGTATAGAGCTTAAAACCTATTGCAACTTCATTATAGCTTAATTAAAAGTTTATCAATGTTGATTTTGATGTCTATGTGGGGAATACAATTGATATGATTCATATGAAGAGTGACTTGATGTACTATATCAAAAATGATCTTTAGCACCAATCAATTAACGTCAATAGTTTAATTACCACTAAACATGTTTTTTAGAGGCAATTAACACTATTTGTAAATGTCCCTAAAGTCTATAGCAACATTAGATCCAATATCAATTAACTAATGTCGATAAAGGCTTTAACACTCTTTATTAATGTGCGTATTTATCACCGCTAAAAGTTGTTTTGTTATAGCGATGGTGGTTAGATACATGAAGAATGCTAGCCCCTGATCTAGGTGTTTCTTCTCAAGACACGAGTATGACTATTGCAACTACTGAGATCATTTGGTTGACTAGTCTATTAATTGAGCTTGGTTAGGTTCTTCACATGCATATGAGTTTACGTGTATATATACGAAAAAATGAGAAAATTCTGAATTAATAGAGGCTATGTATATGGTTAGCTAGGTCATTATGGATGGTCATATAAAATTTTAGGTTAAAAAAATCTAGTCAATCATATTTTCAAAAATTTATGGATTAATACACATAAAAAAGAAAATCTTAAATTCTTATTTTATGACCTCTAAATGCTAAAAAAAGAAGAAAAAGTGAATCATGTAGAGGTCAAACCGCTCATTTGACACTCATATTATATACTCATTGAATAGAAAAATAAGAATTTACACAATAAGACATTAATCAAATTTTGACATTTGACATATATACACCATATTATTGATTCATTTTGATTGAATTTAGTTGGTGTCAAAAATTCACTTTATACCTTTTATGCACACTTAGAACGAGTTTTTAATGATCGATAAATCCTACTAGAACCAATCCTTTTGGGTTAATCGCAACTTTCGAAACTCAAAAGATAATAGGCAGAGCAAACTAAGTGAAAGGATGGTGGATCATAGGACCCCAATAATCTCGAAAAAAAATTATATAAATATTTATGTATATACGTATGTATATATATTTTGATAAATGAATATATATTTGATTAGGCACTCAGAGGGACAAAAACTAGTTGGGAAGCTACGGTCAAGTTTGCCACATAATCAAATTATGCTAGTACCAATATAGCTTTTATTTTTCTTGCAAATCAAAACAAAACTTATATTTAAAAACAACAAAACTTTTTGTTGGATATCAATTTTTCTCAAAATAAACATATTAAAAATTAAATAGAATGTCAAAAATCAAGATTAATCTTTGAAGTTCCGTCTATGCATTAGAGTTCAATCAAACATCAAAACAACAAAGACATAAGAAGACTAATAAATCGGTGTACAAACACCTTATGAGAAGTACATCGAAATTTTTTACTAAATACCAATATTATTCATAAAAGACTCATAAATTATATAAAACGACGATTATTTGGTGGTGGTCGATCATGGTGTATACTTGGCGATTGATGAACTGGTGCATAGTCAATTACTATTGAATCATCAAGCTGAAAGTTTGTATCAATTCCACTTGCATAAGCTTGATTTGATTCAATTTCTCTTCTTCCAATTCTTGCTGCTAATTCATATAACAAAAAAAAATAATGAAAAATAATAAGTTATTTAACAATATATTATATACATGCAAGTTGGAATAAATATGACTCATGAAAAAAAAGTGTATTTACCTCGTGTTACTATTAAAATAGAGCATAACAAAAAAAGAGTCTTCAAAAGAAAAACATTATTTGAGGCAACATTCTTCATCATCACAATTACTATTTTAAAAAAATTCGATTAGTGATATGATATTATTTTTGCACTTTGTGCAACCTTTAAATAGTAAAATATGTTCACAAATTCTTAGATTTATTGACCGTTGGTCAAAAGCCGGTCAGATTAAGAATGGTTTTTTTCCCTTTTTTTGCCTGAAAAGGAATGATCTTTTTCTTTTTAGGTAATACTTTAATGGAAAAAGGATAAAAAATATCCTCAACTTATTGAAAATGGATTAAATAAGAATGGTTTTTTTTTCCTTTTTTAGTCTATTTGAAAAGGAATGATCTTTTTTCTTTTTAGGTAATACTTTAATGGAAAAAGGGTCAAAAATACCCCTAACTTATTGGAAATGAATTAAAAATACGTCTCTTCCACCTTTTGGTCAGAAATAATCTCCATTTTTGTTTTTGGTTCAAAGATACATCTCCTTCCATCTTTTTGTCACGATCCAAAAATGGGCATGATGGCACTCGTCTTATCCCACCAAAACAAGTCAGCCTAAAACTCAACCCTTACAATAAAATGCGGAAATTTTTATAATCAACTCAACAATATCCCAAAAATCTGGTTGTCATGTGTACAAGCCTCTAATGTGTTATAACAAAATTGAAGGAAAATACAAGTTCAATGACATTGTTTCTAGAATAGAACAAGATCATAATTAAGGAGAAAGAAAGTCCACTGAAATAAAAAGCAGCTACCTCACAAACCTCCACAAGAAACCTCGGACAAGGAGAAGAGAAAATATCACAAAAGTCCGGGTTAGTAACCTACAAAAAAAAATGTAGTAGCAAGGGGTGAGTACCAAACCACACGGTACTCAGCAAATAAACTTCTAAACATAAGCTAAGGGGATAGAATACGGGTACTCCTTATACACCAACTGAACCTCCACAACTACAACCTGCATTAAACCAGCCCAACCTAACAGTTTGGTAATCAAATATCAAGTTCATCAAATAGAGGTAATCAAATATCAAGTTCATCAAATAGAGGTAATCAAATATCAAGTTCATCAAATAGAGGTAATCAAATATCAAGTTCATCAAATAGAGGTAATCAAATATCAAGTTCATCAAATAGAGGTAATCAAATATCAAGTTCATCAAATAGAGGTAATCAAATATCAAGTACTTTTCAACCACAAATAAAACACATAATCATCAAGAATGAAGGATGTCATGGGATGCAATGCTATATGACACCATGAAATGATATGCCTCAAAATACCAAGTACTCTCTCAATCGTATATACATGATACTCCTCGGAAATAAATCAAGAGTTCATGACCCATGGGGGACTCGCGAGGTCCATATATAGACACGGACGATCTCCACGTGCCCAACTTATAATCAAATTAATCACTCGCACAGACGATCTCCATGTGCCCAAATTATAATCATACTTGATCTCAACATGGACACGAACGATCTCCACGTGTTAGACCTTTACTCACAGTCAATCTCATGTCAATAAATGTGCACGATATGATATCAATAGAAGGGACATGCCTCTTAATCAAATATCAATATGATATGTAATCACCTCAGCTATCACAAGTATACGGGTTCAATAAAGAACACAATCACACATAATAAATCAAGTTAGTTAATCACATTGCCTTTTATTACCCTTTTTTCATTATTAGAATTAATCAACGTGGACAATTCAACCCATCACCAAATCGCATTACCCCCAAACACATATTACAAGAATATACACGAATTCCATACACTTAACAAGGATTTAAAAATCCACTTGCCTCAATCAATCAAGAATTCACCCTGTGACTTGAGTCTTTCCCTTCCGTTGGGCTTCCAAATCAATGCAATCTATTCAAATAAATCACCACAATAAGATTTTGAAAGTAACAACACCCGCATTACTATGTGTTTAGCCTTGACCTAAAAACTCACCCAACTCTATAACAAGTTTCTAAATCGTGATGTCAACCAATAGGTCAAATTTTATATTTCCTAAATTTCAAGGCTAGGGTCAAGTTCCAAGATCTCCAAATATCATGTATATAATGATATTCATATGATGCAATACACCTACTTATTTAATGATATGCCGTAATATATCAAAACTCGAATCATAATATGATAGTAAAATAATAATTAATAAATACGAGAACCACTGGTGGAACCCCATAAGTCAAGGAGCCAACTCCTCGCATGTAACCTCCCCACACCTCCCCACGAATCAGACCCCAATTTCAAAAATATGTAGCCAACAATCAGCCAAATCTCATTCTTATTAGCCTTCAATAAATACCCTTAACTTTCCAATTCAAATCTAATATAATATTGTTATATTATTATATATGCCGCAATTAATGAAAGCATATGCAGAG